TTTAATTTTCAATTTTATTTTTTGGTTGTAGTACCAACGATAGCTGCACTCCTACTGATTAATAATTTATTTTGTTTTTTGTATAAGTGTATAAATACTCTCTAAACATTTTAAATTAATTGTTCYTTTTTTAAACCTTAAAAAAAATTCAGAAAACACCCTTAATTTGAGCGTTCTACACCACCGGGACCCTTTAAAATGCATGAAAACAATAGCATTGAACAAACAATAACAAAAGCATTACTAAGGATAAAATGTTTACATATGATAACCAATGGGTTCTTAGAATACATTTTAGCAACTGTTTGTAAATGTACTCCCATTAAAACAAACCCAAGGTCACACAACATKTGCACTTGAAAACAATACCATACCATGTAGYATAAACAATATGCTACATACATATGAACATGCAGATGAATTGAGAATTAACAAATGAAAGCGACTGCGAAAATAAAGAATAATACGTATCTGAGTAAATCTAGAAATATGAATGATTGGTTAAGAAAATACCTACATCTAATAGCTACCTTAACTGCCTAATAATAAAAATGTAACTAAGTACTATCTATCTCTTAACTAAATTTCGTCAAAATCTGTTCAGCCGTTTAGGCATGATAGAGCAAAACTCCCAGCAAAAACCATAAACAAATCACTAATTCAATTCAGTTTTCTGCCTACTTCCTACCCCCTAAATACRATGAAGTGATCATTTCGATCTTATATCCGTTATTAGGTAACCATCTATTACCTTACTAAATTTCATCAAAATCCGTTCAGCCGTTTAGACGTGAAAGGGCAAAAGTCCCCAACAAAAACGACTAAAAATCACTAACTCAATTTAGTTATATGCCTACTGCCTACACCCTAAGAACGATGGCGTGATTATTTGTAGCATATGTCCATTCCTAGGTTATCATTTATCACCATACCAAATTTCATCAAAATCCGTTCAGCCGTTTAGGCGTGAAAGAGTAACAGACAGACAGAGTTACTTTCGCATTTATATATATATATATAGAATATATAGATATAGGTATAGATGTACATATATTTGCATACATTGCCGAACAAATAATGCACAAGCATACAAACATACATATGCCTACACATGTGAATATGTCACCAACAAAARATTTAAGCGTTGTTCTACAAAAAACAACAATTGTCTAAATAGCCGAAGCATCACAAGGCAATATGGTAGCCGAATTGGCGAAGCCCAAATGTAGTAAATTTTACAACAAAAACGATTTCATTCATAAACRCAGGCGCATATTCCACAAGCGACCTCGCTTCATTCATAAAAACAGACGCCGTAACATCTCCCCGAGCATGCCTTTGCCAACAAGCGTCTTTTCGCGACGATGGCTGGTGTTTGTTCTAAGTGAGAAAAGTGACAACATAGCTGTTGTCGATTTACAATATTTGTCAATTCTAAAATATTTTTCCGTGGCTCCCAAAAATCAGCGTCGATATGCATGCACGCTCATACATATGTATACATATTTACGCTAGTTTGTAGGCGAAGCTGTTACTGCGGCAAGGGAAGCGGTAACAATCGGCGATCGTTTGTTATTTTCTTTCGGCACAGCTCGGAWTTTSTACCAACAACACAACGTTGTGATGACTCTTTGACCATAAGAGAGCTTCGGCCATTGGTTGACCGTGACAACGGAGATGTGAAAGATGCGTGCGGCACTTGTTATTATGAATGTACATATGTTTGTGGCTCGCATTTGCCTTCGTAGACATACAGACAAATGTGCCAAAGAAATAATATATATATGCCATAGAAATTATATTGCTACAAACATGGAAATGATAACGAAATAATGCGAATATGCATATTTTATGAAGGTCATCAATTTTCTTTAAAGAAATAAAGTTCATTTGGCGCACCTTCACTTTGTAATAGTCGAAAAAAATATAGTTTATTTAAAATATTAATTTATTTAAAAATTAAAAATCAAAWTTAAAATTATTTTTATCTAATTTTTCCCGATTTTGTAAAAAAAATTAAAATTTTTACCATTTTTCGGAAAAAGATGGTTCATTTGATACGAAATAATCACGCATATGTGACAATGGTTCATATAATTCAATATAAGCACGCATAYGTCACACAGAGAATGCTTTTTTACATTTTACGCCAAATCGACCATCATAGAGAATTCAGTTTGCACCTTCTCTATGTTTTAAGTTCTCTGGCTCAATACGACACATGCAACTCGATGGTACACATTCGTTTACAAGACTTTCGCTCATACACTACGCCGCGTCAACATCTAACGCCTCTAATGCGACCTAGACCCGCGACTTCTCGATCACCAGCATCGGAAAATCTTTCTCGGATCTTATAATAACGAATTTTCTAAAATATAAATATAAACTAGAAATAAACTTTAAATGATTGTAAATTTTAACCCGTGTGCATTTGTAAAGAATCGTTAAAGTGGTTAGAACTTTTCTGCGCATATTTGGGCAGCAAATTAATCAATTATAAAGATGTGTTACAGTGTTTTGTTAAGAATTAAAAGAGCACTAATTTTTGCATTTTGTGTCATCGTACAATCYTGCAAGAGCAAAAACGCCCCCCTTATGTTGCCACCAAAAATTTTTAGTGATTAGATTACATTTAATCTCAATCTAATCTAATTCTCACTGCGATTGGACAAATGATAAAACAGATGTTTTTGCCATTCAAGGATACATATCGCTTAATATTTATTCAAAGGAAACATAGCTATATACTATTTTGTTATAAAAGTCATATTCTTTTAAATATTGGAAATAATGGACCCATTTTTTTATTTAAGAAGTCCATTTTTAGGGGAATTCTATCGGTATTTGCATATGTTGCTAGAGTATAAAATGATCGGTTGCACCCGAACTTAGCCCTTCCTTAATTRTTTTCATAAAATTTGTCCTGTTTTAGACTGCGTCCGTTTATAAGGGCTGTTTTCCAATACGGATATTTCAAAGGAAACGGAGATATAAAAGGAAACTTTGTTTGTAATAACACGAAATTCCTCTGAAGTAATAGGAAAATTGTTTAGAAATATATTTAATTTTTCAATACTATAACTCAACTTTGTAATTTAGCGTGTATGTATTATGTATTATTTTTATTTAATTAGGCACTATGGGAATACTCATGGAAAATCTAAAACTTTAACCTCAGGTGATTTAACTTCTTTTATGTATCAAGTAGCCAATGGTATGGATTACTTAACATCTCGAGGGGTAAGTAAATAATGTATGTAACAAATATGTATATATAAATAAATAATACGTATAAAAAAGTAAGCACTAAATTTGGTTCAAGAATCGATGTCTTGAATTTTTAAGTATTTTAAACACAATAATAAACGAGTAAGAAATCACTAAGTTCAGGTATAGCCTAATATTTTATATTCTATCATTTTAAGTGATTCAAAGGCCGAGAAATATTTTTATACTCAGTACTTTACGAAATTGAAAAACGGTTGCAATAAGTCAGAAGTGTGGAATTTATTTTAGCGCACGTTTGAAGTTCGGAGAACAAATCGTTCAATTTGATAACATTTTATCACCAAATAATATTATTCTATCACTTAATTCCAATAAAATAACTTACATATTAACTGAGGTATTTCACAATAGAATAGACAGAGAAGACCATAATTGTATAATCGCTCACCTTCTCTCGCCACTTATCGCGCTCTCAATTTCGATTTTATTACAATTAATTATTATTGAAAAAATCAACTCTGTACATCGTCGAGAAATAATTTTTGAGTTTATTGTTGGAAGGTTTGGTTCCGGTATAGATGTAAGTGGTGAGATCTGACATAGTATGAGTTCTATGTTCATCAAAAGTGGGTAGTGTAATACCAGCAATTCGCTAGAAATGGAATTCCGCTATTTTAATTGAGGCCTTCCAAAGACCGTCATAGTGAGGAGACCGAGGTGGAATACACTTACAGGCCATTCCTTCTATATAACTGTGACAACCACAAATGCAACTCTGATAGATATCGCAACGCGCAAACTCGCCTAGCTATCACTTTGATGTACCACCATCATTTTTTCATCTTCGCTCATCATCTCGACTGCAAACTCGTTTTACTATTTTTATCTCTAATCATATTCTATTAGCTTTTTATATTTTAATAAATCAAGTATTATTATGGACATCCCACAAAACATTGCCGGTAAACAGCTTCAATATGTTGCTGCTTCAGAAATTGAATGTGTAATTCTGCCAATTCATTTTTTGCTCCAACAAAGTTTCTTGCATTATCACACCAAATAATTCGACGCAACGCTACTAGAAAGTAGAATCGTTGATAGATTCCTTACGACTTCCATAAGAACCGCCTTCGTAGTAAAACATGTGAAGATACTTGTGGAACATTTCATTGATGGTAAACTTCTTATTTCAGGACGGTAGTAGAACGGTCCGCAATAGTCAATTACGATGATTAGAAAAAGCCGGCTTGGACGGAGGCGGTCTTCTGGTAAGTTTCTCATAAACTGCTTGCAAATCCTGGGTCGTAATTTTAAATATTGCACGCACTTGTTTACTATATGACTCCACCACACTTTTTCCTCCCAGGGGCCAACATTTCTATAGCATTGCAGCAAGTAATGCCTGAAGTCCGGCATGTAGATTCTGATGGTGAAAGTGTGCAATAATAGGTTCTGTTAAGGGATGCCCTTCCTTAGAATGCATAAGCCCAAATAAGTATAAAAATGGTGACAAATTCGACAGTTTTCTCGAAATGCTTATTGGTAGAGACCTTTTAAGATCCCTGTATTCAGAAGAAACATTCACTCTTTGCACTATGCCTTCTATCTAAGTAAATACCAATATAAGTTACTTCGTTCGCCAGAGATACTAAAATATTGTTAATTTTTACTGTCGGGCACATTGCTGGTTTTAACGAAAATGTACTACATGTTTGCTTCTTTACATTTATACGCCAGTTGGCTAGCCATTTTTCGACAGAACTTACCGCTAATGTACGTGATAGTGTGGCATTTGCTACGAACACTAAAGCTGTGCTCTCCGCAAAAGTTGAAGTCAATATATTATTAGCTGTTGGAATATTAGCTGTACATATGATATATAGAGTTGGGCCCAAAACACTGGCCTTTTAAAGCGATATGACATCTCCTACTTTAACCATAAATTGTATATTAGTTAAAAAAGACTCCAATGTTTTATACCATTGAAAAGGTAGCAGTTTTTTAATTTCATATAAAAAGGCCTTCATGCCTCGGCTGAGCTACGCCAAGAAATATCCAATTTCTGTGCAGCGATCTACTGAAGCAAGCAATCCCTATTTGTTCGAACGTACCCAACGAATGCAAGGCTCAAACATGCAATACTAATTTGTCCACCAGCTACAACAGCTTTCCTGATTTCTTGTCAGTGCTCACTCTCTGCAATCCGAATGAAAGATCAAACCTCAATTATTGAGTCTATGACCAATTGATTTCATTGCAATTGTGCAGTTTTCATTACGCATTTCCGGTGATTGAATAGCATTCAGTGCAGCTGAATTTTTTCCAAGTTTGACAATTCTGTATCATCGTGGACTACCGTTTGAAACATGACAAAAACGTTCAGCCATCTGCTCTTCCAAATAACGATAGCTGCCACTACTAATCCCCAAAATGCTGTAAATATAATTCTACAATGGGCAAAGAAATTACKGAAAAAACTCAAAAGCGCTAAGTCTGTACACATTATTTTCACGTACATCAAGATACAGCAAAACCAATTTTCATAGAAGGTACACGAATACCGTACTTTAACTCCGCTAAAAAGTTAGGAATTACAATTGACTCTTAGCTTCGATGAAAAGTTGACATGAAAGACAATAGAAAGGAGCTAGACATTAGGGTGGGTCGATTCCGGACTTTTTTCGATTCGGGATTTCTAATAGTGCGGAAAAGTTGCCTTAGTCCTTCCTGATTCCAATGCAACTTTTTGTTTTGAGATCGGATTSCATCTTCAACCCCAACTCCGGCCTTGAAATTTCAGAAATTCGCYTAAAATCGTGAAATTGTCTACCTAGCGCCTGAAATACGCATCTCTGTGAGTCCCAGTTACCTACTTACCAGGATGTTCTTTTGTGTTATCAGTGTTTCACATCGTG